CAAAATCTATCAAACGCTAAATTTTTCCTATTAATAAATCAAAACCAGAAGATGATAGGTAATTAAGAAAAAAATTTAAAACACTTACATAATATTGAAAAGTTTAAAATCATATTCAAAATATTCTATTATAGAGTCAAGATTGCCAGATTCCTCTCACCGTCACTTGAGCAACCCTCGCTCTATTTCCTTCTAAATATTTTTTCAACAGAATTGGATAACTTCATTCATACGAATGCTAAAAAACAAAGAGATGACAAGCCTATAAATATAAGAAAAGACACCAAACATAGACCTAACTAGAAAACCACATAAGAGCAACTACTTATATGGTGGCAAGTCAAATAATAAGAAGTCAGAATTTAAACTATAAGCAAATTAGCAAGATAGCCAGCCATACTATTATGCTCCTTCTAAATAAAATTAAAATTAATAATTTATTGTCTATTCAATAAATGCCTCGCAGCTTTAATGATATCCAAGAAAAGGTGATAATTATGGTTGCTTCTTGTGATTGTTGAGATAGCACATGCACAACCACAAAAGACTTTCATGGTCCTAAACCCTTTTCTCTAACAAAGCTCTAGACCTTTGTAAATCTTATAAATCTCTGCAATGATAGCTAAAACACCATCTAATTTTCAACTGAAGCCCTGTAACCATATCACATTAGTGTTCAATAGAATACTGCCACAAGCACTTTTCCTTCTTTTTTAATATAAGGCCACAGAAGATCCCTACAAAAAGAAACAGAAATCAAGTCATGTCAGATTCCATGAGGAATCTATAGCTTGAAGGTGGATGATTAAAAATAACAATATCTAAATTTTCTTGAGAGGCCTGGTGAGCAAGCATGTTAGTGTATTTGTTTGCTTCCTTGAACATGTGATCGAAGGTAATGATCCAATCTTTCATAACAAAATCTCTGACTCTCTTGGTAGTTCTTGAAAAAGGGTGATTATCAGAGATATTACACTGAATAAGTGAAAAAGCTTCCATAGAATTGGAATGAATATTGATTGTAGTAAATTTTTAAATGCCTTTGGAAGGGACTCCAAAGTGAATTCAAATGGAAGAGAGGAGGGGTTTATTAAACCATTAATGAGACCTACCATGTGATTGACATGCCTCCTCTCATTTTTTTAACTCCTTTCTTTCTATTTTTCTATTCTTTTCTAATATTTCATTTAATTTTTTAAAAATTAATCGTTTAGTTCTTTAACTTTTAACTCATTTATAATTTAATCCCTGAATTATGACTTGTTGCAACTCAATTTCTTAACTATAACTCACTTATGACTCAATCCCTCAATTTTGATTCACATATGATCCAGTCCCTCAACTTTTGTTATTTCTCCTTTTTCATGTTAGTTTAGATCCCAAATCATAAAGCAAGAGGAGGGTAATTTAGAGCAATATATGAGCATTTCTTTTATCCCTTTAATTTGATAAGGATAGTTTTTTTAAACAAATGAAAAATCAGGACTAGTTATAAGTGAATCAAAAGTTGAAGAATTGAGTTACAATGAGTCATAATTGATGGATTAAGTTCTGACGAGTCATAATTGAGAGACTTAATTACATGTAAATTAAAAGTTGAAGGACTAAAGGATTAATTCCTTCCCTTTTTTTACTTTTTTCACTTTTATAATCTAGTATTTTTACCTTTCAAAATCCTCTTTGATTATTTTTATAATGACTTAAATTTTAAAAATTTAAAAATTTTTCAATAAATTATTTATACTTAAATAATTACATAATGAATGTTAACTATCACGAAATCATTCAATTAAATTCAAATTCAATGCTCGTAAAAATTTACTACTTGTAATTTTGTACTTCTTTGTAAAATAATAATTTAATACTTTAAGAATATATTTAAAGTTAATTTATCTTGATTAATATTTTCTCCGATTTCTTATTCCACTTCATTAAACCACAATCATGTGTGCCTTTATACCTCACACAGCATAAATTAAGTGACTTTAAACATTAATTTACTTAATAAATCATATCTTAATATTATTTAAATTTTAGGAGTAAAAAATGGGATGTTACAGTCACTTGGCAAATAAGGTCAAAAGTAACAGTCAACAAACAGTCATTCTAACAGCTAGTGCTAGTAATTTGAGTCAAACCCGAATAAGCCTGAATAAATTTAGGGCTGAGCTTGATAAAATTATTTTTTTAATGGTCGAGCCTATTTGGGCTCAAAAAAATTCAGGCCAAGCTCAATCAGGTTTGGACTTAACTCAAATACCTAAGTACAAAAAGTTCATTTTTAAACAAATATATTAAATATTAATGAATTTTTTAAGTTTTATATTACTTTATATTAAAATATCATTTATTTGAGTATAGTATTATATATTTTTTAAAAAAATTAAAAAATTTTAATTTATCATGTTTTTATTATTTTTAATCTTTAAAATATCTCAAAATAATATTTTTAATGTATTTAAACATTAATTTTTAAATTTTAAGACCCACAAATTTTTTTTTAAATTTTTTTAGTCTTCTACATCATTTAAGAATTCCAAAAATTATATTTTATATTTTTTATAAAATAAAAAAATTTTAAATTTAAAACTAAATTAAAATTGATTTACAAATAAAAAAATTGATAATTCAGGTATTTGGGTTAGCTCGAAGCCTGAAGAGGTTAAGCTAGAGCTTAATCAATTAGGCTATTTAAGAAGTTTGGGCTTATTTGATAAGCTTGCCTCATCCAAATTATCAGCTTTACTAATGATACGGTGAAATTGCACTCTTTTAAAAGTTTTAGGATAATATTGCTTCACAAAAAAATTCAAATACAATATGTTTCTCATAAAAAAATTTAAGGTATTTTTATCTTTTGACCCTTAGATCTATTCGGCTCATTTATTATGTGTCAGAATTTTTACCTCCTAAATATATTCCAAAGTGTTTCATGAATGTGTGCACACCTTGAACTCCTCCCATCTATGAGGACTTGACTTCTCTCCTTTGAGAAAAGCCTCCTTTGCCTCTCGAGGTAGAGGCTTAATTTTGATCTTTTAAATTTAATTTGGATGGTCCATATTTAATATTTAATATTTTTATTTTTAAAATAAAAAATATATAAAAATTATAATTTTTTAATAAATGTACTTATCAATATGACAGTTTAAATTTAATATAGGTAGTTTAAATTTAATATTAAATTTTTTTAATAAATTTACAGTTCTGTTCAGAATATATTTGCACTGTCTATAATATATCTAAAAAGTTAATTTAAATTTTTTATATTAAATTTAGATCATCTACATTAAATTTGGACTATTATATTGATAGGTATATTTATTAAGAATTTTTATATATTTTTTGTTTTAAAAATATAAATAAAAATAGAAAAATAAAACTATTAAATTTAAACCATTCAAATTTTAGATTTTTCTTTGCCTCAAAATGAGAGGCAAAGGAGGCTTCCCTCAAGGGAGAGAAGCCGACTCTCATCTATGAAGCCTCTATTTATACATGGGATCTTGGTCTTGGTATAAGGAGAGGCTTCATAAATGATTCTTTTATTTTTAAAATGATTTTAAATATAATTTTTATAATTAATCATATAGATGTTAAATACTTTTCATGTTCTCTTTATAAATTATTTATGCCAATATCATCAGTATCAATGCAAATGAAGTATAAGAAATTAGTGTGTAGAATTTTAAATATACTCTTATATAATAAATCTAAAAAGTGATGTTATGTTATTTTTTTTCTCATAAAGATTAATTTTAAAAATATCTTTTAAATATTATCTAAAAAATTATACCGGACTTATAAATAAAATTGAAGGAAATATTATATAAATATTAGCTAGATTACTATTATATATATTTTATTTGTTAAATAAATAATTCAAGTCATGTTAGTGCACAAAAGGTGCAAACAAGTGATGAGATTTAAAAAATTAAAATGCTCATATTATTGATAGAGACCTTGTAAGCCAATCAACCAGTACAATTATTTGCCTTTTTAAAGACATACTCAAAAGTGATCATTAATCTTTCATAATAAACCCTCTAATTTGCTATTAGTTCAATGAGTTCATGATTAACAAAGAATTAGTTATACATGAGAGCAAGTATTTCAATAGTAACAATACGATAGGTGCCTGTTCCTCCGGAAAAACTGATAGGTGTATGAATTTTGCAAATAACTCTCTCTCTCTCTCTCTCTCTCTGTCTCTCACTGTGTCTGCGCGCGTGTGTTTATTTACATATATATCTCTCGTTCACACGTATAGAAAATAGACATGCACATATAAAATGTTATTATTAAATATTGACACATTTATACTTATATTTCTAATATTTCAACTTTTCAAGTGAGCCAATAATGAAAATTTCACACCCAAAGCTGACACTTTCAGTCTGGTTTTAAATGTTCAAAATTTCCAGTAAAAGACTCGTTGGTGATGTAAACAATATAATTCTCTATTTAAAAATATAAAATATCTTTTAAAAAATTAAATATTTAAAAATATAAAGTATTTTAAAGTCTTTTGAGGTGTAATTATTGTCTTTTTTTTAAAGTATCTATATTGTTAATGACTTTATATTAATTGTAAGGTATTTAATAGTGATAAATATAAAAAAATAGAATTAGTTTGAAAGTAACTAACTATATTATTAATGAATGATATTTGGTTACCTGAAAGAAGGATATATTAATTTTCTTATTAAATTGGATCCATGTTATTTAACTTAAATTGCGTGACTATCACCAGTCGCCGCTCTTCTTAATATGATTGTCATGTACTTCTTCATATGATCCAGTTTATTATAAAATTAATTTAGCTATCGGAATATAATTTAACTAAAAAAGTATAGATTTAAATATATATGCTTGAAAATAAAAAACTACGCATACGCAATTTTAATAAAAATAAAAAATAAAAAATCTAAAAAATGTAGATTGTGACTTGTAAATGAAACTCAGCATCAATATAATTGACCGGTGACTGGGGTCTAGATGTGTAGCAGAGTTCGACTGGGTTACCGTTTCTCTTTCTAGTTTTTACTTCCAACAACAGGTCGGAGCGGGGGAGAAAAACCAGAGACGAGGGGGAATACAGAGAGCTCCGAGTCGTGGGAGCGACATGGAAGAAGATCACAATTACAGTGGCAGTGGCGGCAATCACTTGGAGACTTCCAAGGCTGAGAGATCCGTTTGGCTGATGAAGTGTCCTCTCGTTGTCGCCAAGTCATGGCAGAATCATCCTCCCTCTCATGCTCAACCTCTCGCCAAGGTCGTCCTCTCCCTTGATCCTCTTCATGCCGACGATCCCTCCGCTCTCCAGGTACTTCTCAATTCTTTTCAAATTTTATCTTTTATGCGCTATTTCAACCACTATTTTTGCCCTGCTCTGTTATGTTTTGCCTCGCTTTGCTTTCATATTCTTGTTGACAGGAGAGAGTGATGCGATTTGGTGACTTTATCGGAGAGATGCGTTGATGAGGATGTAAATCATCCTATAAAGTTGGGATTTTCCTGTGAAGTTGTTATCAATCCTCACTAACTTTTTTCAAAACCCTACTTTGTGCACTTGAGCACAATTTGTAATTTCAAATGGTGGTGTATTGTTTTAGCTGTAAACTATGCTTATTCTGAATTTCACACAAACCATAAGTACTTTCAAGATTATTAGTTGCTTAAATACAGTTAGATATACATTTTGAAGACATGGCGAACTCAAAGCTCGTAATAGCCGTTTTCTATTCTTATCTTATTGATATTTGTAAGTTGTCGTCGGGGAAAAAAAAACTGATGGGTAAGAGTGTTGATTTATTATTGATGTGAGATGTTCGTCCATTTTCTAACTTGTATCATGATTATGTCAGTTCACAATGGAGATGGCTGGCACCGATGCAGTGAATATGCCAAAAACTTATTCTTTAAATATGTTTAAGGATTTTGTTCCCATGTGTGTATTCTCTGAGTCAAACCAAGGTAAGAATTGTGATTTCAGCTTGCTGCAAAACATAGTTTCAACTTTTCATTCATTGGTGGCAATTTTATAATCCTGCTCCACTGGAGCTGCATCATTGTTCATGTATATCATAAATCTAACCTCTTGGATATGATATGATATCAACTCATGTCACAGCTTTGAATGATGATATTTATTATGTTTCATTTCATGCCTGATGATTCTTTAACAGAGCAGTGTATAACTTCCCTCAATTGATGTTAGGATTATTTAGTAAAGATACTACCCTGGTTGTAGATTGTTTTAAAAGACCAAAGCTCTGATTTCACCTTGATTCTTAGCCCTGCCATGTTGCAGATTATATATTTTTTTTTAATTACCATTTTTGAAAAGAATATTTTTTTTTTCCTCCTAAAATTGAGAGGGTGGCAATGATGAAATATTTATTACTTTTACGTGTGGAGTTTGATAAGGCTAGTGGGATAAGGCTTGTTATTGTTACGTGTGGAGTTTGATATCTGTGTTGAGAGGGGCTACATGGAATTTGGAAGATTTCAAATAATTCTGTGTTGGTACTTTGGGAGTTAGTTCATTTAGTTTAAGCAATACAGGACAAAGCCATCCATTACAGTTGAAGGGAGCAGTAGCTCCATTTGTCTGGTGTGGCTAAGATGTAAACAAGCATGGTAGGATACTGTCATAAAAGGTTTTCGTTTTGACTCTTCTAGATCATGTGCAATGTTAATAATAGCTGTAGTAAACTGAAGTTACATTTTGCAACTTTTGTGTGGTAGTTAGAAGTCTAATTTGAAGGTTTAACAGCTTTGTTGAGAGACTTCGAGAAAGCAAAGTGAACGTAACTTCAAACTTTATGGGCCATAAACACTTTTATTATGATGTGAAAAAAATATCATAATCAGGAACTGACTATTAGGACAATTATATAATTTAAAATAGATGAAAAGGACTTGCATACAAGTGTTTTTAGTTATATCAGTTGTCATAATTAGGCTTGGCACCTTGAATAAGGTAACAGCCAGTAGGTTCTTGTTAGGCAAGGTTGCGATGGAAGGGAAAGTGGAGCATAAATTTGACATGAAGCCCCATGGTGAAAATATTGAAGAGTATGGCAAATTGTGTCGTGAGAGGACAAACAAATCTATGATTAAAAATCGACAAATACAGGTAATATTTCTTAATTAATATTTGACTACCCCTTAGGTAGTTTTTGGCTTATTGCATATACGTGTGATGGAAAATATTGATTATCTTGTTTGCTTGATTTTGTTGTTAGGTTATTGATAATGATCGTGGAGTTCTAATGAGGCCCATGCCTGGAATGGTTGGTCTAGTTTCTTCTAATTCAAAGGTACCCTTTTCTATACGGCATTATAATTATACGTTGAATGAAATGCTGATAATTGGCTTTAGATCAGGTTCTTGCATTGCATAAAATTTGGGGTGCATGGTATGGAAAACTAACGCTAATTATTAGGAGTTCATATGAAGTGTTATCAATTTATTATAATTCAACTATCGCAGGATAAGAAGAAGACCCAACCAGTGAAACAGTCAGATACAAAGAGAACAAGAAGAGATCGTGGAGAGTTGGAGGACATAATGTTCAAGCTATTTGAAAGACAGCCCAATTGGGCCTTGAAGCAGCTTGTCCAAGAGACTGACCAACCAGCTGTATGTCTTTCTGCTCTTTTTTTGCTGGCCTTTTTTTGTGGCGAGGGGTGGGGTTAAAAACACTTGGTTTGCCTTGACGTTCTTTCTCTAGAATTTATTATTTACGGTGTTGTAAGTTGTTATATGGTAAATTTGAAGATTGAATTTATTATTTGATCAGCTGCATTGCATCTGTTTGTTGTATAAGATATTTGGGATGCACAAATATCCAACGATCAACCATTTGAATGTGCCCTCGGTCACAATTCAACATGGTTCTTAAATATTCATGTATTGGAGCTTCAAAGTCAAATTTACATAAATCTGCATGTATTTAGCATGATTTTAGGATCAATAGACGGATTATTTAATTTCTGAATTTATACTTGAACGGTTTGACTTGATTTCGTTTTTTAACATTTGGGGGCGTGGATTTTCCGCTCTGTTTTGCAGCAATTCTTGAAGGAGATCCTGAACGAATTGTGCATTTACAATAAAAGGGGTGCCAATCAAGGAACTTATGAGCTGAAGCCCGAATACAAGAAATCTGTTGTTGAAGAAGATACAGGTGCTGAATAAGTATACTTCGCTCCCAAGTGCCCCAACTACCCCTCCATCCAAAAATAAAATATAAAGTCAAGAGTAAGCACATTTATGTTTAGTATATTTGGGAATGGGGTCATCGGGTCATCCGAGTAACTGGTAAATTATGTATCTTTAGTATACTCAGCTTACGATGTATTTTTTTCCCCCTAAACTTCTTTCGAACTTGAAGAAGGTGCGCAACAGCGCAAGTGAGTTGTATACGTTCTAAAAAGGATTTTAAGGTAGCGAAATTTTTTTACGGGTAATTGTTGCTTGGTTGCACTTTCGTGCGAACTGGCTATTTCAAGGCAGAGACAATTTCTTAGTGTTATACAAGGTGTTGCTATCAAGAGAATGATACAGGTTAGGAGTGAATGAATGGCCTGGTTAGAAGCGAATCAAACAAACAGAAATCAAGATACAAAAGTTGTCTATGATAAAGGAGGCAATATAAAAGATTATTCTTTAATGCGCTATTATGCGTTTCTTCCCGAGGCTCCAACGTTCTTATGACTCTGCTTCTTTTTGTTAAATTGATGCTGGTTTGAATGATCTATGGCTTCGGTGAGAGTTTACGATTATCGTTTGCTGGTTGCTGGGTATCGATCCCTTCTTCGAAGGCAATGAAGAACAAGAAGGGGAGGAGGGTGAAGGATAACAACGGACAAACAAAAAGAGGAGAAGTTATATATAGATTTTGTGAAATAGATTTATTTATAAATGAGTTTTATAAAATTTAAAAATTATAGTCAAGTCTCTTGAAATGAAACTTGAGTATACTGAGATCAAATCACAATAATGCTCTTATTAAAAATATATTATATCAACTAAATAATTTATAATTTTTTATCAGTAATTTATAATTATTCCTTCAATTTTTTACAGTTATAATTTCATATATTTAATAATTAAATTGATTATGCATTATTAAAAAGCTTGACACTAATTGTTTATAATTATTTCATCATTAATTTATGATTATTACTTTAACTTTTTACAATTACTACAACCAAACTAGTATTTTAGCACAGATTTATTTGTTTAGTAGCCACGTTTTCAAAATGTGGCAAAGCTTCCCACCAATGGCTGTAAAAAAATATGGCTATATTAATCGTGGAAAGAATTTAGCCACAGTTTTAAGGAAAATGAAAACATGGCTCAAAACTACACTTTCTGTAGAAACTGTGTATATTTTTCACCTGACAACTTGTTAGACTTCATCTGTAATCACATTTTTCGTGGCTCAAAGCTATGTTTCTGTAAAAAACGTGACCACTGACTTATATTTAAAAAAAAAATTGGCAAATTTTTTCCAGTAATTTAAATATTACATATTATTATATTAAAGCCATGTTTTTCCAAGAAAACGTGACTACTGGCTTCTTTTAATAAATAAAATTTAGTAAATTTTTCTCAGAAAATTAAATATTTCCAAAACCTTTTGATTTATTTAAATATTACCAATTATTGTATTATATTATTATTTTTCTACAATATTTCACACAATTTAATTTTAAAAATATTTTTGATAATTAAGTTTTATTTATTTTATCATCAGATTATTAATACAAATTATTTAGATTATTTTTGTTATTGATTTATATAGATATTTTTATTTCTAATTATAAAATATTTTTAGTCAATATTTTAATATCCTATTAATATGAAACATTTCCTAACCTGTAAAACAAAAATAAAATTATAATTAGAAATTTTAAAACAAACGAACAAATAAGAAACACGAATAGACTAAAAAATAGGGATAGAATAAGAAATGAGAAAAGAAGAAAAGGAAAGAAATTGTAAAGAACTTATATGAAAAAATGATGCCGGAGGAGAGAGCTCGAGAAGAGATAGAAAGAAATGAAAAGAAAAGCAGCAAATGAAGGCAGAGGTGGGTCAATATATATAAAAACTAAGATTAAGTCACGTTTATTTAAAAACGTAGCTTAATCAATCACATTTTTATCCAAAAACATGGCTGATGGCATTATTCTAATAAAAACCAAGCCACGTTTCTAGTAAAAAAACGTGGCTTGGCTCCAGCAGTCAGCCACAAAAGCGTGGCTTGGAGCCACATTTTTGTACAAAAATTGTCTTAGATCCACTAGCATTATGCTATTATTTTAATAAAAAGGACATCCTTTTATTAATTTCTAAAAATAATTAAATTTAATTGCTTTATTTTTTACCAACAAAATGATATACTTTTATTAATGATTGAGAATAATTCAATTGTCCTAACAACAAAATTATTACATAATTAACTATTGTTATGCAATTTAATTGTAAATTTAAGTAAATAAAATTTATAGTATTAATTTTAACCCATTAATTAATTTTTTTAAAATTAAATTATTTGTCTTAATAATTTAATAAAAAATTTTATTTTATACTGTATAACAATAAAAATGACATATTTCTATTAATGATTGTGAATAAATTATTCTAATAACATAATTATTATATAATTAACTATATTTTATTATGAAAATTTATTATTAAATAAAATTTAAGTTAATAAAATTTATAGTATTAATTTTAACCAAAAACTATTTATATAATACTCTCTTCGTTCAAAAATATGAAGCATTTTTAATCAAATTTCATCCCTAATAAAGTAGTTACCTACTTTTTAACTAATCCTATCTTTTCATATTTACTCTTATTAAACACCCAATAATAAATATAAAGTCATTATCAATAGGAATACTTTAAAAAAAGGGACAATAATTATACCTCAAAAGACTAAAAATGACTTATATTTTTGAACATCCAACTCCTCAAAAAATGCCTTACATTTTTTAATAGAAGGAATAATAATAAATATATTATATTTCTAATGAATTTTTTTTAAATAAAACTTAAGTTTAAGTTAATGAAAGTTATGTTGTTAATGTTAATAGAAATAATTTATATATTATTGATAAGCTATCAACCCATAAGGAAAATATTATTAACTAAAAAACAACTTGATATGAAATTGTTCATCAAAATTTTAACAAAGTTATACATAAAGGAAACAAAAGAAATAAATATTCATTAGTCCATTACAAATAATAATTTGAAGCATAAAAATCATCCATGAAAAAAGCCTGAAGAATTATTCAAATTCATATTTGTTATACTGTCTGGACTAGCATTGGAAGTTAAATCCTGCAAATAAGAACAAATATATAGCATTAGAAAATATAGGATGAAAAAAGTATAAATAAAATAAGTTGAGCGTATTTATTAAATTAAAATGTTGTATTTTCCATTTTATTTCTTTCATCGACCGCATGAATCTTTCTTCCATTTCCTTTTGGATGGTTAGAAATTATTTCTCCCTTTCTCTTTTACTTTCTCTTTTCAGAGCCATCCTCTCTCTCTCTCTCTCTCTCTCTCCCCCCCCAGAGCCATCATTTCTTTTTCTAGAGCCAACTCTTCTTGCAATCTCTTCTTTTGCTCTTTCACTTATAACATCCTTCCTCTCATTTGATCAATTTCATTTTCTATAAAAAGGCCTGATCTACCTTAACTTAAACGAGAACGTCCGAATACTTGTGTCATTGTTTGACCTAATCCTAATCCCTTCGCACGTCCATAGTGATTTGGGCCTAAAGTTTGTACTAAAAAATCATTATCAACACTAGAATTTGATGAATGTTGACTTTCATATTCTTTGAGTTTTTCCTAATTAAAAAAATAGAAATTAGAAAAATTTTGAATTGTTAACTTAATTTTTAAACAAATAATTATTATCTTATAATAACTGCAGCTGTTTCTTTATTGGAATAATTTCCTCCTTTATTTAAATGAGTTTCTTCATAAAGCTCCACAAAGTTCACTTTTGGTCCATCTTCTTCTTTCTATAAAAAAATATCTTTGTTATTGAATAAAAAATATATAAAAATATTTAACATGATAAATTAAAAAAATGATATAACTCCTTCTGCTCGCGAAATTGAGAGTTTCACTCGTGAATCTTCAAATGACCTCTACTTACAGTATTTTTACGTGACATTATCTATAAAAGATAGTTATTATTAATAAATGAATTTTATTTTGAGAAAAAATTATTTCAAGATGAAATCTTACTTTTGTGTTAGGATTTGCATAGCAATCAACAATTATTGCCCAATCTTCTCTAGAGACACCATCAGACACAACATTCTTCAATTCTTCCACTGATTTAGTACTATCTTGATTGTTTTTGTACGAATCATATTTTGATTTTTTTTTCACTTTTCCCCCATTGCTTTTAAAATATTTTTTTCATGGCTAAAATCATCAATTAAAAAATGAGCATGCATAAGATATTATTATACAAAATATTAATTATATTTTTTGATTTACCTTATTGGTCAAATAACACCCTTCACCATTGTCTTGATGTGATACATATTGAAAAGAATGTTTGTAATAATATCCTTTTCACATTATTGAATGAGTCTAGTAAATTAAAAGATCGTTTACAAGCACAAAAATATTTGAAAGAAATGGGCATTAGGCCATATGGCTAGATGATAATGAAAAATTTCATCTAGCTAAGTTTACATTGAGCAAGTCTAATAAAAATGTCTTTCCTAAGACATTAAAAAATATCATTGTTCTATATGGATATTTGAGTAACATTTCTAGATATGTTGATTCGAGACAATAGAAGATTGGGAGGCTAAAAAGTCACGACTCGTATGTTTTGATGCAGTAATTGCTTCCATTAGCAATGAAAAATACTCTTTCAAAAGAAGTATCAACTGTGCTGATTGACTTTGTGTTTATTTTTGAGAAAATTGTATGAAAAGGTTGCGAATGTGAGTGATCTTGATGAGCTTCAAAGCTGAGTTGTCATCACTTTATGCCATCTAGAAATAATTTTTTTACCTTTTTTCTTCACTATCAGGGTCCATTTAATTGTGTACCCTATTAAAGAAGTCAAACTTGGAGGTCTTATGTAATATCGATGGATGTATCCTATAGAGAGGTAAGTGGAAAATATGTTTTTTTTATATCTAAAAAATATGTTTCTCTCCAGAATACAACTATACATTTATATTAAAGTTATAAATTGTTTGTAGGTTATTGAAAAAATTTAAATCATATGTTCAAAATAAAGCTTGGCCAGAAGGTTATATGGGTGAAGAAATATTATTATTTGTTCTAGATATTTAAATGGAGTTGAGACAGTTTTCCATCGCCCTCATCGAGTCGATGACAAACCCGTTGTCTGTATTTTTGCTCCTACTACATTCCCTCCGGTTGGAAAATATGTGAGTG